ACCTGGCTCACCTGGGGCTTGTGTTTTACCCAAAGCAGGGCTCGTGCTCAACCAAGGTAGGGCTCCTGTTCCCCCACTATGGGGCTCATGCTCACCCGATGAGAGGGCTCAAGCTCACCTGAAGCAGGATTCGAGCTCACCCAAAGTGGGGTTCGAGCTCACCCAAAGCGGGGCTCAAACTCATGAACCATGAGATCATGACCTGATCCAGAGTCATGCCTAACGACTGAGCTACCCAGGCACCCTCCTTACGGATCCTTTAAACACGACTTCCTCAGCAGTCTCCCCTTAGCTCTCTGGATAGGGGGTCCCTCTTGTTATTTACTCCCAATGCAAGTGCTATGAGTGGCACTGGGGGCTCACAGTACTTGCGGCACTCATAACATCCTGATGGACTACCTGAATTCATCGCTTTAACGACTGGATTCCATGACTAGAAGTTGAATAAGCAAGCATTATTTGTCTGATTCACCCCTATACCCCAGCCCTCATCATGCAGAGAGCTAATAATTTGGCTGACTCGATGAAAATCCGTGTCTGCTGGATGTGGAAGTCTTCACTGTAAACAAAAATCAAGTTTTCAACTTAACGATCTGAACCATGCCTCTCCATGTTTTCATTATTTTGGTTATAGTTATACTGTTACTTTCAATAATTCCCCTAACACTTAACAAATTTATTTAATTTATTCAATGTATTTAATTTTTTGTTAAGTAGTATGCTTTGGCAATTTATGTTTGGCCCCTCCTATTTCCAGTATGTTCATACTAACCAAAATAATTCTTAGAAGGAAATGAAAAAAAAAAAAAAAACGAATTTATTGATACTATGAATTTCCAGTGGTTAAAATCTCATTTTTCCCCTCTGTGTTCAAGTCAGTGTATGACTTTTTGGTAGAAATACATTCTAATTTCTGCATAAATAGCAAAGATCTATGTTACTTGGCATTTACTTCCAGAAATAAAACCAGCAGAGGGAGCAAAGGAACATAAAACTAGTTTCCTAGGTCCCCGCGGATTAGTAAATGCTGTGCTGGCCTCCGGGTATGACTATTAGGCCAATTCCATCACTACCCCACATTTTTATATGACTTTCTGTACTATAATACAGAGTGATGGGTGAATGGCTATAACTCTGTATTACAGACCAAAGACGGTCTGCTTCTGAGTTTGGATCTGGACTGATAAGACCCCTGAGATCATTCTTCAATGTATCTGGGTTAATCCTAAAGTCTTTGTTTTGGGGGTGAGGGAATGAGGAGATTAACTAATCCATATAAACCCCTTTTTCCAGAGTTGTGTCTGGCTGAGTTTGGGACTTCCCAGGGCCCAGAACGGGCTTACTGCATAGGAAGAGCTCGACAATACGCTTGCATCATCACGAAATCTCTTAGACATCCCTGCTCTGGCTACAAATGAATGAGATGTGCTGTAGCCGGAGTGGACTGACGACTGTCTAGGGATAATAACAATACGTTGAATATGTGACCTGCAACATTTGCCTTCATGTTAGTTAGTAACTTTCCTGGGCCACATCCAGTCCTCAAAGATATTTCATGGTAAAGTCATATGAGAATGCTCTAAACTCTTTGAGAAAGATAAGGCATAATGCCAAGGTAACATTCTGTACTAGAACTAACCCGGAAGACAGGAAACCCACGGGCTACATCCGGCTCCCCACACACCAGTAAGCAGCAGCGACTTACCCCTTTTCTGGCCTGGAGGCAGCCACGGAGAACTCAGAGCACAGTTATCAGCCGTACAGTGAAGGGCTGAGTACCAAAGAGCCGGGCTGCAAGCCACCTCGGCCTGAACCAGGTCTGGGAACTACCCAGTGTGGTCACCAGGCCCGCTGAGCTCACCACCTGAACTTCACCTTCGGCCCACCCACTCTTGGCTTTCCCATCACTCCTGCCACATTCTGAGGGACAGTTTCCTACCATTCTGCTGCCAGAACAATCTTTTAACTTCTGACCAGGCTAACGTCCTTGCTTAAAACTCTCTTATGGTTTCTCACTGCCGTCGGGCTAGTGCCTCGGTGATCCGAACGGATGCTCGCTTCCTTTCTGGCTGCCTGCCGCCTGCTCGTCGGTGTGCCCACCAAAGGCAGTTACCAGAGTTCCCAAGACAGCACGCTCTCGCAAATCTCCATGCCTTGGACTTCGCTGGTTTTCTCTGCCTAGAGTGTCCTTCTCACTTCTTTTTCATGAACTCAACGCTTACTCCTTCCCAAAGATCTTAGGTCAGGCAACACCTCCCCCGGGAAGACCTTCCTGACAGACTCCCACTCCTGTCCGAGTGACGTGGCCACTCTGGGTTCTTTGAAGTGCCCAGTGCCCGCCTCCCCCTGCCCCCGCCACCAAGCGCTGTGACCACCGTTTAGCGCCCACGTCCCTCACTGTGTAAAAAATGTGAGGAAAGGGCTGTACCTTTTATGTCTATGACGGGGGTAGTGGCTGAGATCGACCAGGGAGAGCGCGCAGTGTAAAGAGACCAGGGTCTAGGGCAGAGCTCACAAAAAATATCACTAAGGAGAGGAGAAAGACAAGCCAGAGAAGCAGAGGAAAACCGGGTGCTAACACGTCACAGGAGCCCAAGGAGGGCGGCCACAGGCAAGAAGAAGAGCCACAATGTAAAGCGCTGCCGACAGGTTCATGGTGACATGGTCCAAAACACGCCCCCTGGATTCAGCAGCCAGCAGGTCACCGGCCCCCTTGGGGACAGGAGCGTCAGCGGAGCGAGAGATGGAGCCAAACTGCAGGTGGATGGAAGGGAAATGAGAGGTGAAGAACTGGAAGCGGCTGGAAGACGATATTCTTTTAAGACACGCCGCCGTCTGCTACAACAGAAAGACATCACGCCGAGTGAAAGAAGCCGGTCACCAAACAACGCCTGGCGTACGAGTCCCCTCTGCGAGGGACCCAGAGCAGGCACACTCAGAGACAGACAGCGGGATGGTGGCTGCCAGGGGCTGGGGGAGGGGCAATGACGGGTGCGCGGTCAGTGGGGTCAGAGTTTCAGTTTTACGAGACAGGGCATGTTGTGTGGACGGATGGTGGTGATATGAATGTCCTCCACGTCACTGCGCTGTATTCTTAAGAGTGATTAAAATGGTGAATTTTAGATGAGGTACGGTTCACCGTAATTTAGAAAAAGGAAAAAGCAGCACTGCTGTTAAGAGAGTAGGACGGACGTTGCTACAACAGGATACGGGGCCGAGAGGGTTTTGTTTGTCCATCGGAAAGGCAAGACACTTGAGCATGTTAATAAATTGAGAAGGGTGAGCTGGTCAAAAGGGAGCCACGGGGGAACAGTTTTTGATGTGGAGACCCCGAGAGCAAGAGATAAGGAGGAGGCAGAAGAAGTTTGTTGGAGAGGAACACAGGGTGCGCCAGAAAACAGTTTTAAAGCCTCTATTGGCTAACCTCTATTTTTCTTTGAAGGCGGAGTCTGGGGAGGGAGAGGGGACTCGGGTGGGGTGGGGAGTGGTGAAGGTCTGGAGGAGTGGAGGGGAGTCCTGAGGACCTGCGAGGGACCGTGTGCAGGGACTGAGGCGACTCTGGCAGCTGGACTGGAATGCTGAATGTTCAGTGGGGAAGAAGGCCCCGGGCTCAGAGCGTGACCTTGCAGCAGCCCCAGGGGCTGAGTGCACAGGAGGGCTGGAGAGGGTGTGAATGGCAGACGTGTTCTTCAGGGAAGAACGAGGGCGCCTGACCAGAGAACGCTGGGCGCCTAGTGGCTGACACCCCTCTGGAAAGGGAGAGAAGATGGGGCGCAGACACTGGCCAACAAGGACAAGAGTGACTGGCCAGCAGGGACCGACTGGCCACGAGGGCAAGAGTAAGGGGAGCTGGAGGAAGGGTTCAGAGAAGCGAAAGATTAGGAGACTGAAGTCAGCAGTGACACACAGCAGTTTAAGGTTCCTGATGTGGGACAGTTCTGGGTCCCTACCAGGCCAGGCTCAGCCAGGGTGGAGGTGGCTAAAAAGAGAAATACAATCAGGAAAGACCTGGGTCCTATCCACAGCAGATGCTTCTATGTGTTCTTCTTCCCAGAAAACATAGATAATTATCTTTTATGACTCTTTTCCCCTGGATTCAATTTCCTCTTTACTGCATTCTTTTTTTTCCCCTTGAGGAAATTCCTTATGATCTAGGTACTATCCCATTTTACATCTTCATTCACCTACTTCTGTTCTTATATGCCATCTGAACTCAATAAGAACCCTGTTCTGTACTAAATCATGGGTTGGTAATCTGTGGGAGACATAAAAGCCCATTAAGAGCCACGAAAACAGGCAGTGACTCATTTCCCAGGGTCAACATCGCAGATTAAAAATACCAGTAAAAACTAATCGTCATCATCTATTCAAGTCTTTCAAAGGCTAAGCATGGATATTTTGTATTACCTGACTTAAATGATCCTGAACAGATCCTGAGCCCTTCCCCAACAAAGAAATCCGAAATAATAAAGGGAGTCTTGGGTTTTACACTGAGAAGAGCCCAGAAGGAAGTTAAAACCAAACCCGTGCCTTTTTATGCAGCCTAGCTAGCCCCAATGACCATATTTTTTATTTTACTGGACTTAGAAGCGGGCATGTCTGTCTTGCACGCCATCTTCTCGCTCCAAGAAGGGCAAGGACAGACTGAGGCAGCTGTCTTTTTGGCCTTCCTGAGGTTTATGCAGTTGTCACATGGTCTCAAAACAATGTCTCATCAGCATATGCCAACACTGGCTTTCTCCAGGGCAATGTGACATAGAACCAACTCACCAACACTCTGGAAATAGACTTGTTCCTCCTTTGTTTGCACTGGTGTAGAAAATTTTGGACATAACATCTTACTGAACCATTGTGGAATCAGTTCAACGTATCCCTTGTATCTGTGTGCATGCTATACTTTGTCACTTTGACAACACAGCATCTCAAGGCCAGAACACGCAGCAGGTGATAGACAGGTCACTGTGAGAGCAGGCACATGGAGATTTTGCTTTCAATCCCACCTGTATGTCCTCTGAACGTTGTGACCAGGGTGCAGTTGTCTTGCTCCAGTTTGAGGATGGTTACTTGTCCTGACTGGTCACCAATAAACACATGCCGGGTTTCAACGTCAAATCTATCATGTAAGCATTAAGGATCATTTCTCGAAATTGAATGGAGGGATTTACAAAAATAAACAAATAACCAAACAAATCAAGAAACGTGCAAATCCCATATGAACAAAGCTTGGACGTAACGCTGAAAGATACAAAAGCAGGCATAACAGAGTGAAAGACACAATATTATTGGACAGTAAGACTTAACACGATAAACATGTCATTTCTCACAATATGAATTTGCAAACTTAATATAATCTCTATAGAAATATCAACATAAGCTTTTTTCCCTAGAACTAGGGAAGTTTAAGTTCATATAAAAAATAAATACACAAGAAATGCCAGGAATATTCTAAAAATAAAAGCAATACGGTATTTGATAGGGGAGATTAGCCCTACCACGTTATTAGAACACGTTACACAGTCTTTTTAAGTGCAAGTGTGGTATTGGTGCATAAATAGACAAACAGACCCATGGAACAAAATGGCAAGTCTACAAATAGACCCCAAAGTATACAGAAATGTAGTACATGTCTGATAAGGGTGGCTCTTCAAGGAATAAGGAAAAGATGGGTTAAAAAAAACAAAAGCGTTGACATCAACTGGATAGTCATTTGGAAAACAAAACAGGATCCGTAGTTCACATTCCATATCAGGATAAACTACAAATGGATGAAGGATCTAAACGTAAACAATGAAAAATGTAAGTTCGAGATGAGAGAGCTCCGTTCTAACCTTGGAGTGGGAAAAGCTACTACTCAAAAACACAAACAACAAAACAAACACCATCAGCAAGGCCAAAAGACAAGCTGGAAAAGATATTTGCAACTTATGTCACAAAAGGCCCAAATCTCTAACATAAAAAGAACAAACCACAAACCTAATAGGAAAGCGGGCAAAATATATGAACACATAGTTCCAGAAGACATGAAAATGAAAACGGGGCTGTGCAAGAGAGGCCTGACTGTCAGCCTCTGAAAGGCTGCTCACAAGGCTGGCAAGGTATCTGGCAACTGGTTTTCAGGGGGGTCCCACCATTAACAGACAAGAGTGGTTCACTGTGCCTGAACCGTGATGATACGGTTTTTGCCAAATACCTGCTTTCCTTTTCAGTCTGTAATTTTGGTACATGTCAGAAAGAGGCTGCCTACGTGACCAGTCTCTAGTAAAAACCTAAGGCGCTGAGTGTCTAGTGAGCTTCCTGGGTTGATAAAACCACTCAACCCTCCTTCTAGAGATCTATCCCAGAGATACACTCGGGCCAAAGTACAAAATGCATGCCTGAGGTTATTCACTCCACGTTATTTTAACAGCTAAAGTTTGAAAACAACAAAAAATTCCATCAAAAGGGGATTTACTGAACTAACTATGATATAAGCAAGCGATAGAGTCCTATCCAGCTAGGGGAAAAAAAGATCTCCATACCATAAGCAAACAGACATGGAGGAATTTCTGGGATACATTATTAAGTGGGGGAAGAAAAGCCACGGTATGTAAGAGTTTATAAGCTACACAATCTTTGTGTAAGAAAGGGAGAGAAATAGAACTATATGAGTGTGTCGTGTGTGTGTGTGTGTGTGTGTGTGTGTGTGCGTGCGCGTGCTCATTTCACAAAAGGAAGCTCTGGAAGGACAAATCAAGATCTGACACACATGGCTGCCTATGGAGGAGGGAGGAACAAGGTGAGGAGACAGGGCTGGTGGTGAGTCTTCTCTCATCATAGTTTGCATTCTGGAATCAAGTCATTATTTCACATATTAAAAATATGCATAAGATTAAAAGAAAAAATCCCCCATATTGATGACAAAGCATAAATGAAGGAACCTAACTATCAAGTTGGTGACATAACCACAGTTAACGGAATTATTTCAAGTGACTTTAGAACACAGCGTTTCAACTGTACATCCTTGGGGGAAATGTACTCCAAAGACAAAGAGAACTGCAAAGAAGTCTAAAATCTCACTCAGTTGTCTTGTAACTATAATACTTCTATAATTAGTATTTTGAAACAGCTTAAAAATATACCATTGGATAAAGCAAAAACAAGTTCATGTTTTAGGAACGAAAATGTTCAGTCCAAGATAAAAGAATCAAGTACAAAAGTGAGGTAAAAACCTTATAATGCTACATTTGGATTAGAACCGTTATATGAACTGATGATTCACTTTCTTTTCAAGAACACACACACCTACATTTCCTAGTTATCTCTGAGTCCTATTCCTCACTAAAAGAAATGGCTGATTCAGGATTGGGACAAGAAGGTACAAGAAGAGCTTAAGACATGCTGTGCCAAAAAAGGAAGCCACCAAAGGCAAGTGGAGCTGTATCAAAAGACGCTGGAGCCAATATGATGGGGCTCTTACTGGCCAAAGACAGATTAACATCAGCATCGAAGAAGGCAAGTTATTGAAATTGACTGAATATATTATTTTTAGAAACCTTAAGAGTTTATAAGAATGCTCAAAAAGAAAAAAAAAAGACACCTATTGGAGGTAACCTGGGCACTGACTCTCTCCTCTGAAAATGAGCAATTAAAGACAAACAATTCCGCATTTGTTGCTTTTTCCATATTAATTGTATCTCAGGGTAAGCAACTAGCCCTAGCTAATGAGGCAAAGTTCTACTTTACTTATCTTTTTTAATATATATACACTTATTTGGGGGGAGGGGGGGGAGAACTCAAGCATACGTGGGAGGGAGGGGCAGACAGAGAGGAGAGAGAGAATACCAAGCAGATGCGGGGCTCGATCTCATGAACCGGGATACCACGACCTGAGCCAAAATCACGAGTCAGGCGCTTGGGGCGCCTGGGTGGCTCAGTTGGTTAAGCACCCAACTATCGATTTCGGCTGAGGTCACGATCTCACGGTTCGGTTCGTGAGTTCGAGCCCTGCATCGGGCTCTGCACTAACGGTGCAAAGCCTGCTTGAGATTCTCTCTTTTCCTCTATCTATGCCCCTCCCCTGCTCTCTCTCTCTCTCTCAAAATAAATAAATTAATTTTTTTTTAAAAAGTCAGACACTTAACCGACTGAGCCACTCAGATGCCCTGAAAAGTTGTACTTTATAGAAGAATTCCAACAAATACACGTGGAAAAAATTATAGGATTACAAAAATCGCCACTTTGCAGCCCTAATGAAAGGTCTGGTCCAGGCGAAGATCAGCAACTAAAACCACTGAATGAAAGGCTGGTGCGCGCCGCAGGGACCTGGCGGTCACCACCTGAATCACTGATCAACTCAGCATCACTGGAAGGGTGACAACCCTGTGCTATGGGCTTCCTGCTGTGAAGCAACACGAACCAGACAGCACAAGGACCAAGTGTTCTTAGCAGGAGCTGAATCTGAACTGAGTCAAGATTTTAGAGGCGGGTCTCAGTTTACAGAAAAATATGGGAGACGCACAGGTAGGAGAACAAGGGAAAGGACATCACGAGACACCAGAGGCCACTGTAGAATGCGGGGCTGTCTACAGGAACACAGGCTCCGTACTCCAACAAGTCACAGTGGCATCAAAAAAAAAAAAAAGTGAAGGGAGGAGATCACTGCCCTAGATTGAGAGATTTAGGATACGAAAACCACAGCCAACATGTGAACTTTGTCTGGACCCGATTTTAAACTAATCCGCTGCAAAAAGCCATTTATGAAACAGTAAGTGAAATGTGAAAATGGATTATTCTACAATGTCAAGTAGTAGTTATAAATTTTTAGGAGTAGTAACAGCATTGTGATTACGGAAAAATTCCACATTTTTAAAGCGGGGTACAATGAAGTACCTAAGGATGAAATGACATACGGTCTGCAATTTGTTTCAAAACACTCCAGCAAAAAGGGAGAGAAAGCCAAAATGATAGAAGAATCAACACCGGGTCTGATGAATACGTGAGTTTCCATGATATTCTCTCCTCCCAGTTGGTACACGTTTTGAAAATTTTCATAATAAAACACTTGTTTTAAAAGTGAAGAACAGGGGCGCCTGGGTGGCGCAGTCGGTTAAGCGTCCGACTTCAGCCAGGTCACGATCTCGCGGTCCGTGAGTTCGAGCCCCGCGTCGGGCTCTGGGCTGATGGCTCGGAGCCTGGAGCCTGTTTCTGATTCTGTGTCTCCCTCTCTCTCTGCCCCTCCCCCGTTCATGCTCTGTCTCTCTCTGTCCCAAAAAAAAAATAAATAAACGTTAAAAAAAAAAAAATTTTAAAGTGAAGAACAAGGCATCACAAATTCCCTCAGGCTCAAGAACAACAGAGAAATGTTATGCTCTCTCCAAACAAGCGGTCAGATACATGTAAAACAATACTAAGATATATACGGAATAAGATCACCTTACATTTACCTTAATTATAAGAACACAGATGAAAAAACAATCTTTATGATGGCAGGTAAATAATAGGATGCTTTGTAAAGAAATTCAACAAAAGCCATTTGAAAGAGGGTCGAAATAAATTATAGTTCAACCTGAAAGCCAGAGTGATTGGCATTACGTATGATATGAGGATATACAAAAATCAAGATAATCTTAACAGCTTTCCAGCACTCTTGCCCTGAACAAATCTAAGAGACTACTTGGTGAAAAGACCTTGTACTGTACAGGGAGACATCTTGGAAATATCGCCAACATGCATAGAATCTTAAAATGAAAAGTACCTGAATTATTTCTGTGGAAGTGTGATAAATGTGATCAAACAGGGTCAAATGACAAGACTGAAAGGCAAGGCCAGATAAAGTGTTCACAAATTTAAATACCAGCAAGGGAAGGGTGGAAGGAAAACGGTTCTATTTCCTAACATCAACCTGCCATGTGACCTTTGGGAAATACCTCCATTCCACCGTTATTTAGTAGTGTAGACGGCTAGCCGAGTTCCAACACCCAAGTTCTACTCCTGGTTCTTCCAGGTAACAGTTACGTGACCTGGAGAATGTCCCTTAGCCTTTCTTCCTTTTTTTTTTTTCTTTTAATTTTTAAAAAATGTTTATTTATTTTTGAGAGGAAGAGAGAACACAAGCTGGGGGAGGGGCAGAGAGCTAGAGAGAGTGAGGATCTGAAAGAATCTCCATACACCGTCAGTGCAGAGACTGACGTGGGGCTCGAACTCACAAACCATGAGATCGTGACCTGAGCCGAAGTTGAAGTCAGACGCTTAACCAACTGAGCCACCCAGGCACCCCTAGAGAAAGTCCTTAACCTTTCTGAGCCTTGGTTTCTACACTGTGAAAATTGAGAATTCGGTCTTTTTGTTTTTACTTCTAATTATTGTTTTGAGAGTGAGCAAAGTAACGTTATATAGAAGCACTATAAAACTCTCGGGGACTGCAACTGTAAGATATTTTCTTCTTTTCCTTCTCCTTTCCCCTCTCCTCTCTTCCTTTTGGTTCTTGTTAGTATTATACCTCACTTAATATTTGAAGCTTCAGATCTCTAGCCAAAGAAACCAAAGATTTGAGGTTATTCAGAAACTGATCATTCAATTTTTGAGCCATCGGTCTCTTTGTCTTCCTTTATTTCTCAATTTGAATTTTGGTTATTTTCACTGCACGATTACATCTCCCCTAAGAGGCCTGAAAGAAGAGAGAAAAGGCTGAATTCACCCTGACTTCTATCACTTGCTGACTTGGACTAAGTGACTTTTTGAGGTGAAAATTAGGAGACAGGTTACTTTGGGGAAGTTTCTTATATATGCCACCGGGGTCCACTAGGCAGAGAAATCAGGGTACTCATACTATTCCGAACATTCTATGGTGTTTCAGCAGATCTCCTTCCTTCCCTTCAGAAACTGTAAGTATGGAAGGTGGAAGAAAGAAGAGGGAAGAGGTGGGGTGGAGGGTTCCCATGAAAAAAATGTGTTTAAAAACTGGATTTTAATGTGAACTCCAACACTGTATGAGCATGTTAACACTGTTAACAATCTGTACACAAGGCAGCTCCTAGGAAAAACCCTCCGGCCTTGGGAAAGTCACAAGTTTCCTATAGGAGACCCTTTGGCAAAAGCAGTGCTGTTATGCCATCAGTGAGCAGCTGGAAAAATCTCAGGGATGTATGTGTTCCCAGGAACAAGGGCGGGCACCGTGGCTCCAAAATTGGAGCTAGCAAGAGGCAGAGCTGTGGAGATGAGGGAATCTTCTGGAAGAACCTGTCTGTCTGTAGTACTGCATTTCCCCTCTACCTGCAAGATTGAACAATGTGGTCATTTACCCCAGGAAATGAACCCAGAGGCTTTTACACACATACAAAGTCTTCTGATATCAAATCATATGTGTTTTTGTTTTGTTTTGTTTTGTTTTGTTTTTTGCTTAGTAAGCCACATGGTGTGGCTAAAGGAAACAGCTGAAAAATGAGGATGGCTTCTGGAGATGCCTGAAGAGAAGAGTCCAAGACTGCCACAGTCAGGAGACTTTTAATTCTGGGCATTTGTATCTTGTTTTTCAATTCCAAATAGTTTAAAAAATCAACTTCCTAAGGGCAAGATCTGTACTTTTTCTATATTTTTTGGCTTGGTTAAGTGATATAGAAGATGTATCTCTAGGCTGGGCTAGTGAGATAGAAGCCAGCATTTTTTTTTTTTTAAGAGATTTCTTTTTAATGTTTATTTTATTTTTGCGAGTCAGAGAGAGAGAGAGAGAGAGAGAGAGAGAGAGAGAGAGAGAACAAGTGGGGGAGAGGCAGAAAGAGAGGGAGACACAGAATCCAAAGCAGGCTCCAGGCTCTGAGCTGTCAGCACAGAGCCCAATGTGGGGCTCGAACCCATGAACCATGAGATCATGACCTGAGGTGAAGTCGGACGCTTAACCGACTGAGCCACCCAGGTGTCCCGAAGTCAGCATATTAAGAACAAATTACACTGATGCTATTCATTCTGTTCTCAAATGTATGATGGGAAGAAACAAAACAAAACAGCAGCCTAAGGCAGAAGCCTCACATTCTGGTGATTTTCTGACATACTAGCCAGGTGTCTGCAGATAAGGCATGTGACCCTTTCTGGGCTTCACCTGTAAAACCAGGAGTTGGCCAGGATGACCTCTAAGGACCTTTCCAATTCGAACACTGTAAGAGATCTACTGACATAAGAATGCACGTATTTCAATTCAAGCATTATGCTCGTCTCAACTGGCCTTTAGAAAGCAAACTTCAGACTCTCTTTCCTTAACAGGTGGGACCACCCTCTCGAAGATGAGTTGATCCTGCCTTCTGTTCCTTATCACCCTTGTTTCTGGCCTGCTTGGTGACCTGTCACATTTACAACCTTCCTCCATAGCCATTCTTAGTTTCTTCATCTTGCTCCTCCAGTGAGGAAAATCAGAGAGAAAAACAAGAGTGACATTAGCCGACACACACACACACACGCACACACGCAAATACGGCTACTGAGGCACGTCTGCAAAGAGACAGCAAACTACTCTGTGAGATGTTGAGAATCACGGACCAGGCATTTTATAAATACGACATGAACATCTGAGAGCAAGTCTTACTATTTCTTCCTGCTTTTGCTGACAAGTGATCTGTTTCCATCTATCTCCTCACTCGTCACAGGGTGGAGAGTAGATGCTTTGCTTTTTAAACTAAGAAGCCGGGGGCCCTTTACTCCTTCCATGGTAGCATCACCCACACAGGCTTCAGACTCATCAAGCCCGTGCTTGCTGGAGCCCAGTGAGCCAGACATGGGGATTTCCTGGCACTTACAGGTACTCACACTGAGCACATGGGCCCTGGAGACTCAGGAGATAAGATAAGTACATACCCTGGAAGGGTCTTGTACCTGGAATAAAGTCTGTACCATTACCGTGTAGATACCAGCTAACCCACTCTGGTCCTGGCATGGTAGCTCCCCCATGAACATCTAAAAACAATAAATACGAATCCTGTGGTTCTTTACAACCTTAATATCTATGTGTAAATTACTTCTGTATGCAGAGAAGGAAAAGGCTGTATTTCAGTGATGGTTTTATCTCCATGTTCCAGAATCCTTTCTGACAGCTGAGGCTCCTAAATCCGGGCCGTGTCCTGTCTGGATGTCAGACCTGCATCATAGTCACTCCACAACCCTGCTCTGCAGGACCTGTTATTTGCGGGGAAATCACCTCATTTTAATCCACCTCCGTGAGGACCCTTGATGATTTGCATATTGGTTAAGTCAGTGAGAATCTTAATCCGCAGGGCAACGCAGCAAATGCAAAACTTTCAAGTTGCACATACCCAAGCTTTTCATGAAAGAAAGGAATCAACAGCTAAGGTCCCACCAAGGGATTTTTGTCCAGCAAAGGATACTGCAGGCCCGAGGCCACGGCACTGGTTCGATACCCTCCCAGGCGCTGCCCACTCTCGGAGCAGTGCCAGGCAAACTGCTTGTCCTGCCCAGTGCTCAGCACCCACTCCAGCTCCAGGACGAACAGGATCATCGTCACTCTGCTCTGATGTGCTGAAAAACCAAGAGATACGAAAATAACCCATGAAGCATCATAAAGGAGACTGAGGAAACATGGTCCACAGAGATCCATCATTGTCTTCTCCCCATCCCAGAGTAGGCTGGACAGTATGACAGCCAATGCACACACACCAGAACGGTGGTTCTCACCAGGAGCGCAGGCCCACCACTGTGGAGGGGCATGCTTGAGTTGTTAGACGGTCTTGTACAAACTATCCATTTCCTCCCATTGTTCTCTTTCTTTCCTACCTACACCAACCAAAAGTTTCCTACCACCCAGACCCCCATTACCAAAGGGTCTGGGCCATCTCTCTCAGACATTAAGTTAGGGCTGCTTAGCTGGAGAATGCCAGAACGTGGCACAATGGGACCACAAAACAATAGAACGTGTTAGCAATGATGTTCTTATGATAAAGTCACCAGGGTGAGTTTATGTAAGCTTAAAAAAAGTAAAGAACATTACTGTTCTCCTTTTGATGAAGTATGGCTTCTTAAACCCACAACAAAGTTCTAGATGAATTTTCTATAAGAAATCAAATGCTGGAAAGGAGGACAGAATTATTCCCAAGTGCCATGTAAAAGAGAATGAAATATCCCTGATGTCAAAGTACACATACATGTGATAATGAGGGCAAATCTCCCAGGATTGCTCATTATACAGAGGCAACACCGCCACAGAATGACTGCATCACAGTTAGAAGCAACTGTTCATGTCATCTACTCCATCTCCCTATTTTACATGTGGGTAAACTGAGGCACAACGAAGTCAAGTAGTTTAGCCAAGGTCTCACGGCTTCTCAATTACTGAATAAAATCAATAAAAATTTGCTTTCTTCTTATACAATTCCAGAGGGTGAGGTAGAGGGGGTCCATGGCCACTGAACAGAACTGACTGGAATAACCAAAGATTGATATCCGGGAACCCGGACCGCCCTAGGCTCTGTGCCCAGGAGCCGGCAGTCTGGTGGGAAAATGCAGACCCATCACGAAAGTGATGACGTGATGGAGAAAACATCAGTTTTCCATTTCGATCATGAAAATAAAGTTAGTATGGATGGATCAATGCAGCTCTATTGGCAAGAACAGCACGACCTGCCAATTTCTGAGTTACTAACAAATGCCAAACACTTAAATACAGTAAAACCTTGGATTGCGAGTAACTTGTGCTGCAAGTGTTCTGCAAGACAAGCAAATGTTTCTAGTAAATTTTAACTTGATAAACAAGCGATGCCTTGCAATACGAGTAGTATGTGATGCTAAACATCTCGTGATCACAACTGAGCCAATGGTTCTTAGTGGTTCTTCTCTCTCTCTCTCTCTCTCTCTCTCTCTCTCTCTGTCTCTCTCACTTAGAGATTGTGGGTGGTCATCTCCCATGCATGGATGCTCAGTCTCAGGCCCCATTGTTTGGCAGAAATCAGTGATTTTTTAGAATTCTGGAAGGTGCTCACAACTGGTACTTTTTTTTTGTCACTGCAAAGCACCTGTGGATAGTCCTTTGCTTTTCCATGTAAGAGTAACCTTAGGAATGCTTTGCTTCATTCTAGGTCAGGCTGCCTGCAGATATAGACCCTTCCCTCTGCTGCGTTATTGCCAGTTACATTAAATACAGTATATGACGAGAGTTTATTAATACTGTACTGTAGTCAACATCCATGTGAGCATATACAATGGCCCCCATGCAGAAAAAGGTTGAAAACAAAAGCAGTAAGAAGATGATTATGGTAGAAGTTAAGAAGGAAATCATCAAGAAGTGTGAACAAGGTCTGCGAGTGGTTGAGACTGAAATACTTTATAAGAAGTTTATGTCTGCATCTCATCTGCAGGAGAGAAGGAGAAAAAAGTAGAGGAATCCCTCACTTCAAATGAGATTAGGGAGATGTGTAAAATGTGGAAAACAGTGCAAAATTTTGTAGAAAAGCACCACCCAAATAAGGCAGTACGAGAGATGAATCTATTTAATGACAATGCAATGTCACATTTCCGTGAAATCCTCAAAAGGAGGCAAAATCAAGTGTCATTGGATAGGTTCCTTGTTAAAGTTGCACAAAAAGAAGATTCCATTGAGCCAATAGACAGGAGTGATTCCATTAGTGATGGTGAAAGTCGTCCTACACAATAACCCTCCTCTCTCGTCTCCCTCACACCAGCCACAAAGGTTTTCAAAGATAAGTGTGGGTTAATTTGTCTGTTTTTCTTTATATTTTGTATTTGCTTTATTATTTTGTATTATGTTACAGTACTGTAATCATTTTATATGATTATTTTTGGGTGTGGGACAAATCATCTGAGTTTCTATTACTTCCTATGGGAAAATTCACTTTGAATATACAAGTGTTTTGGATTACAAGCATGTTTCCGGAACGAACTACGCTCACAAACTAAGGCTTTACTGTATGTTCTTTCATTTAGTCTCTGAAATGATCCTACAAAGGTGGGTGGTTTCCCCATTTTACAGACATAACCTGGCCTTGGCAGGATGGCCCTTTCAGAATGGCCACCAAACCAATGGCTACCACAAAGAGTACCCATAGGACAGCCATTCCACCAAATGCCTGGTATTTTTAAATCCAATACTTAAAACATAGAGAATCTAACAGGGCATGACAGGGGTACAGAGGCAATAACCCTATGACTTCTCTACACTAAATACCTGCCTGTCAGAGTATCAGCCACCCTCGAGATCAAAATGTTGTCTCTAACTTAAAAGATATGACTTCTTGGAGAAACTCCTGAAGATCTTGTCATCAGATGTCTAAATCAAGGTCCACCAATGATAGAATAAAAATGAACTTTCTAATGGCCCAAGTTTCACAAGTCTATTTCAGGGAGAAAGTGGCCCCCAGTGAGTGTCCCTTTTTCTCATCCCTTTCTAAGTCCAAGGAGATGACAGCAGCCCGGAAGACAAGGGGCTTTAAAACCTCTGGGCTGCCATTATGTGAGAGGAAGAGACAGAGGCTCAAAAAAGTCAAGTCACTTGCTCAAATCTGTGCAACCAACGAGTGATGAAACTAAGGCTAAAACCATCAGCTCTCTGCCATAGTCGATTCTCTCTCTCTCTCTTTCAGGCTGCCTAGGTCTACTGAAAACACCAAACACAAAACAAACCCCAAAACTCAGAGCACATATTCCTTCTAAGGTGACAGAATTCTTTCATTCAAAAAGAAATCCTTCAAAGGTACATACATATTACTAAGCTTCAGAAACCGGGGCTTGAAGTCCAGTTATACTTTTTGAATAGGAATGCTGAGAGACCACATCCTTGCCTTGATCTTGATCATAGGGAGAAAGCATCTCGTTTCTCATGATTAAGTACACTGTTAGCTGTAGGTCTTTGTAGACGCTTCTTTATCGGGGTGAGGAAGTTTGCCTCTACTCGTAGTTTGCTCAGAGTTTTTATCGTGAATGAGTGCCAGGGTTTATCAAATGCTTTGTCTGCACCAATGGATATGATCATATCATTTTACTTCTTTAGACTTTTGATGTGATGGATTACACTAATTTTCAAATGTTAAACCAGCTTTGCATATCTAGAATATATCCCCTTGGTCATGGGTATGTAATTCTTTCTAACTATTGTTGGATTTGCTAGAATTCTTAAAAGGATTTTAACATCTAAGTTCATGAGAGATACTGGTCTATAGTTTTCCCTTCTTGTACTGTCTTTGGTTTTGGTATCACTGCTTTTTTTTCTTTTAATGTTTGTTGAGGTAAAATTCATCATTTAAGCCATTTTAGAGTATATAATATTCAGTGGTTTCCGGTATATTCACAATGTTGTACAATCATCATGAAAAAATGTTCTATTTATAGAATGTGTCCATCACCCCCAAAAGAAACCCAAACCCCCAACTCCCCTTTCCCCTACCCCCTATCCCTGGCAACCACTAATTACTTTCTGTCTCGATGGATTCCTCTAATTTTGACATTTCATATGATTGCGTTCAAAAAGCGTGGTCCTTTGTATCTAGTTTCTTTTACTTAGCATGTTTTCAAGGTTCATCCACGTTGTACATTTATCAGTACTTCAATCCTTTTTTGTGGCCAAATAATAGTTCATCTTACTGATATAACACATTTTGTTTATCCATTCACCATTCATGGCCATTTAGTCTGTTTCCACTTTTTAGCTGTTGTAAATCATACTGTCATGCACAATGGTATGCAAATGCTTGAATTCCTGCTTCTATTTCTTCTGGATATAAACTGGAATAATCCTCACTTGGTCATGATGTACTATCCTATACTGTTGAATTTGATTTGCTAAAATTTTATTTAGATTTTTTGCATCTGTTTTCATGGAGAACACCAGCCTGTATATTTCTTTTCTTGTACTGTCTTTGTCTAGTTTTAGTATCATGTAATGCTGATTTCAAAAATCAGTTGGAAAGTCTTTTTCTGAAAGTTTGTGCAGAGTTTGTATTGTTTCTTTCTTAAATGTTTGATAAAAAAAAAGCCTAGGGTTTTCTCTGTGGGAAGGTTTTAATTATAAAGTAGATTTTTTAGTAGATATAGGGCTATTAGGGTTTTATATTTCTTCTTGAGGGAACTTTTGTCATTTTTACTTTTCAAAGATTTGTTCATTTAAGTTGTCAAATTTATTAGCATAAAGTTGTTCGTAATATTCATTATTAACCTTAAATATTCCTACAATCTCTAATAGTTTCACTTCCCTTATTCCTGATATTAGTAACTTGCATCTTCTCTCTTTTTTTTTTTCTTCTGATAAGTCTGGCAGAGGTTTGTCACTTATATTCATCTCAACAAACAAGCAAAAACAATAGCTTTTGGTGTTATTGATATTTCTCTATTTTCTGTTTTCCATTTCATGAACTTCTGCTATGATCTTCTGCATAGCTTATGTTTCCATTTGTTTTCTTTCTGGTTTCTTGATGTAGAAACTAAGGTCACTGATTTGAGACCTTTCTTCTCTTCTAACATAGATGTTTAGTGCTATAAATTTCCCCTTAAGGACTGCTTTAGCAGCATCCCATAAATTTTGATGTTGTTTCCATTCCGATTTCTTCTCTGATCCATGGATTATTTTAGATGACCCATGGTTATTTAGCTTCCTAATATTTGGGGATTTCCCAAAGATATTTCTGTTATTGACTCCTGCTTCAATACCATTTTGATCAGAGAACTCATCTTGCATGACCTGAATTCTCCCAAATTTATTGAGACTCATTTTATGGCCCAGAATGTAGTCTACCTTGATAAATGTTCTGTATGCAGTTGAAAATAATGTATCTTCTCTTCTAGGTGAATGGAATGCTCTACAGATATCAATGAGAGTAATTTGGCTGTGTACTATTCAAACCTTTTATACCTTATTGATTTTCTGCCTACTTATTCTGTCAATTATTGATCTATTCAATCAATTATTAAGAGAGGAATATTCAAATTTCTGAGTACAACGGAGAATGTGTCTATTTCTCTTCTTGAAGTTTCATCAGATTTTGCTTCATGTATTTCAAATCTATGTTTATTAAGTGCATAAACATCTAGGATTGTTATGTCCTCCTGATGGACTAACCCCTTAGTCATTTTGAAATAACCTCTAGTAATACAATCTTTTATCCCTCGTAATATTCTTCTCTCTTAAGTCTACTTCGACTAACATTAACATAGGCACTCCAACCTTCTTTTGACTAGTCTTTGCATGGTATATATTTTGCTATCCTTTTATTTGTAACTTCTTTAGGTCTTTATATTTAAAGTGCATTTCTCCTAGGCGGTATATATTTAGGGTCTCCTTTTTTCACTCAATCTGACAGCCTCTGCCTTTTAATTGGCCTTAGACCACACACGTTTAATATGACTATTGAGAACTGTTAGGTTTAACTCTATCACTTTGCTATTTGTTTTCTATTTTCCCATATGTTCTTTTTCCTTTTTCTTCCTTTTTTTGGGGGGAGGGAGGGGAATGAGAATGAGAACTGAGAATAATTTTTATGATTCCATTTTATCTCCTTGGTCGCCTTATTAGTCGTAACTTTCTGATTTGTTATTTTACGGTTGCTTTAGGGTCAGCAGTATACATCTTTAACTTACAGTCTTCCTTCAAGTGATTCTATATCACCTCATGTGTAGTATAAGAATCTTACAATAGTATACTTCCATTTCTCCCCACTTCTTGGTTTTTGTGTTACTGTTGTCAAACATTTTAATTTCACATGTTTTGATCCTCATGCTACTTTGTTATTATTTTTATTTAATAGTAAGTCATCTTTTGACAAGCTGCAAATAATAAGAAAAACTCTCATAGTGATCTGCTTGGTGCTCTTCATTCTTTTGTGTGTTCTTCATTCCCTATTTTCCTTTGGCATCATTTTCTTCCCTCTTGAAGGACTTCCTTCTTTTAGTGCAGGTGAGTTCTCTCTGGTTTTTTATGCCTGAAAAAATTACAGTTCACCTTCCTTTTGATATCTGTTAATATTTACTCATAGTGGATTTTAACTTTCATTTGTTAATAACTGTTATTTAACTGTTATTTAACTATTATTTTATTTTTATTATTCTGAACGTATCTTAAGCAGGGCTTGTTTTTGCTGCAGGATCTTTGTGTGACTTGTCTTGCTGAAGAGAGCTTTTGAATTTATTTCTAGCAGGTATCACAAGGACACCGTTGGCTCAGGACCAATTTTTATGTTAAATTCTTAAGGCTGCCTCTAGCCCTACAAGTATGATTTAAATTTGTACTCTAAATCCAAAATTTTAGGTTGCAATTTTCATTTATCCGGAAGCCTTTTCCCCCTCTCTATATATCATGTTATATGTAAATATCAGTTGCAATTTCCCATCTCACTCAAGCCCTAGGCCTTCTCTTCCACCCCTAAGTGAATGTTCATACAAAAGCTTCAAGCTATTAGAAGTTCTATTTTTCTCCCCAAGACAGCTGCATGTCAGGTACAGTATACTATCACTTTGAGTTTTCGTTCTTTTCTTTGCTTCTGGTACGTGGGACTTTCCCTCTTGTTTCTCTCACGGGCCTAGCATTACATTAAAAAAAGATTTAATGACAACTGGGATTTCAAAATATCTTGATAAGCTGAGATGATGGACTAAATAAAATGAGACGATGAATAACAGAATGTGAAGTCCAGCATTTAGGCTAAAAACAAAACAAAACTACTCCCTCCCCCCCTCCCCAAAAAAGCAATAGCTTCACAAGTACAGGCGAGGTAGCCTAGTAACAACAGAAGTGAGAACCATTGAAGAATTTGAGCTGCTCCACAAAAGCCCACAGTGTAAAGTGGCTACCAGAAAATTCACCCTTTATTATAGTAGAACAGGACCGGGACAGCAAGGAAATACCATTTTGTGGTTATCACATTACATGTATGTATTGGTTATCTGTATGTATTGGTCTGTATGTATTGTGTAACAAATTACACCAAAACTTAGTGGGTTAACACAGTAGACGTTTCTTACCTCGGAGTTTCTGTGGATCAGAAATCTTGGTGCAGCCTAGCTTGGTACTACCTCTGCTAAAACATGTCTCACAGGATAACATCAAGGTATGGGATGGGGCTATAGTCTCATCTGAAAGACTGACAGAGGGAGGACCTCCTTCCAAGCTCTCTCATATAAGTGTCTACTGGGTTCAGTTCCTCACAGGCTGTTGAACTAACTGAAGGCTTCAGTTCCTTACCAGCTGTTGATGTGGCCTCCCTTAGTTCCTTACCACATAGACTTCTCCACAGAGTAGCTCACAAGATGGCAACTGGCTTCCATGAGAACCAGCAAGAGCAGGAGAAGGCAAGCAAGAAGGACTAGTCTCTTTGTCACCTAATATTAGAAGTGATATCTATCATTTGCCATATTTCAGGTCCAGTCTACGCTCAAGGGGAGTCTATGCTCAAGGGCATGAATACCAGGAGACAAGGATCATTAGGAACCATCTTAAAGGCTGCCTACCACAATGTGTCACATTTTAAATGGTCCCAAAGGTACAATATGATATCCCAAGACAACTGTGACCAAGAGAACTAAAACACTTTTTTCAAGAACAAAAATTCAGGCCATGTAAAGGAGAATGTAAAATGTTTAGGCTAAAAAAGAGAAGGGATAAAAGGAGGAGAGGAGGGGACCAGGGTATGCTTGTAGGCAGGTATTATACATGTCTTATTCACTATTAAAATCCTCAGTTACTGGAACACATTAGGTATTCAGTGAATACTTGGTAAGTGCTATGTGAAAAAAAATTAAAGAATAAATCCATAGGGAAGTGAATTTTGGCTCAAAATCTAGAAATAAGGAACTTAACGCTTAGAATTTTATAAAATCAGGACAGATTGCTAGGTATGTCTCTGGAGGTATCAAAAGAGAGGCTGGATGATCATGCAGGATGAATGAAGTCAGGAAGTGTGGATGAAATAACCTCTAAGTGTTAAAAGATCCACCTCTAATGTTCTGATCCCATGACACTATTGGTCTGGATAAATAAATCATTACTGAAAATGGCTCCTGATCCATATTCTGGCCATAGCCTATGGTATACTGCCAATGTTGAAGACACAATAAAACCATAATTCCTTCCCCTTAGACAACAGGAACCCTCTAAGCCTTTTAAAATATTTAGCCAAAAAAGAAATGAGTCTCATGTGAAACAGCTCACTCCTGACACTGGCCCCACTCTCCATGCTGCTGCACTGCTTTGCAGCAGTGCGGTGTAGTAGAGACAAAGGACAAAGGCTGGGGGTTCTGGAATCACAATGACCTGCTCTGGCTCTGCACTTTACCAGCTATAGGACCATAGGCCAAGTCATTCAAGTCATTCAATTTCATTAGGCCTTTCTTTCTTTCTTTCTTTCTTTCTTTCTTTCTGTCTTTCTGTCTTTCTGTCTTTCTGTCTTTCTGTCTTTCTTTCTTTCTTTCTTTCTTTTTCTTTCTCCTTCCTTCCTTCCTTCCTTTCCTTCTTTCCCTCTTTCTTAATATGAAATTTATTGTCAGATTGGTTTCCATACAACACCCAGTGCTCATCCCAACAGGTGCCCTCCTCAATGCCCATCACCCACTTTCCCCTCCCTCCCACCCCCCATCAACCCTCAGTTTATTCTCAGTGTTTTAAAGAGTCTCTTATGGTTTGCCTCCCTCCCTCTCTAACTTTTTTTTTCCCCTTACCCTCCCCCATGGTCTTCTGTTAAGTTTCTCAGGATCCACATAAGAGTGAAAACATATGGTATCTGTCTTTCTCTGTATGACTTATTTCACTTAGCATAACACTCTCCAGTTCCATCCACATTGCTACAAAAGGCCGTATTTCATTCTTTCTCTTGCCACGTAGAATTCCATTGTGTATATAAACCACCATTTCTTTATCCATTCATCAGTTGATGGACATTTAGGGTCTTTCTATAATTTGGTTATTGTTGCAAGTGCTGCTATAAACATTGGGGTAAAAGTGCCCCTATGCATCAGCACTCCTGTATCCCTTGGGTAAATTCCTAGCAGTGCTATTGCTGGGTCATAGGGTAGATCTATTTTTAATTTTTTGAGGAACCTAAAGACTAGGACAATATTCACCTCAAAGGATTGCTTTGTTTTGTTCCCCATAAATATTGTAAAGTGAAGCCATCAAGAAACATTTCAAAGTCTAGGTAAAAACACCACTCTCTCATTCCTACCTTGATAGTTTTTCACAGGAGTCATCTTGTTATAATCTTCTGATAAAATAAATTCCTGCAAAAGAGAAGAAAAATATCAAGCAAAAAGAAATTCTTTAAGGGAATAATTATGTTTTGATAAAACTAGATGGTATAAAGAAACATAAGCACAGAATTACATCTAACATTAGTATTTTGCCAATCAACTCAGCATTTTTGTATGCCTTTAAAAGTAGCAATCATAATTATGATCCAATGTAGTTATAACTGTTATCTTTTAATGCTGAAGTTCATTTTTTTCCTTTTTTTTTTTACTTATGTGTGAGAAGAAAACTGGATCAAGTTCAGAGTCTTGACACTAGTCAATTTTGAAGATTACCCTGATTCCAAGTACTTTTCTCTCATTAGTGCCACAGCTGAAGATCTGCAGGGCTCTGGCCAGTGAGCAAAGAGATGCCAATCTTGTACTAGAGAGACACATCGGGTATTTTAAAGATTCTGTTTCTAATATCAGTAACTTATTTTTCCTCACAACAAGCTTCTCAAGGCTGCATCTGATTCATGCCCATATCCCTATGGTACATGGCACAGTGTCTTGGTGCAGTAAGAAATCATTAAATATCCATCAAACAGATACGTGAAAGGCATCTCCCCAATCTGACGAGATTAATCTGGAGATCAAATTTACTCAAAAATAGTTTCTATACAACACACTGAATACACTCTTTGTGAGGACACCTAAAACACAAGTGGGTGAGTGTGTGTGTGCGTGTGTGTGTGTGTGTGTGTGTGTGTGTGTGTGTACACACTTCACCTAAGCATCTACATATACAATGACCTATATGTAGAAACCAATCAAGTGTTTATAAGCCTCAGCCAGGTTTTGAGTCTTTCAAATGCAAATACCCATATACTCTTAAAGAGTAAGTTGTCAAACATAAGGAAAGGTGCAAAGAATAATAAATTGATGCCTTCGTCTGAGCTTAGAAACAGAACAATGAATCTGTTCAAAACATTTGGAGGATTCCAGAATCTTCTCTTGAAGACTTAAAGAAAGGTGTGTGGGCGGACAGATGTATAAACTCCTTAATTGCTATCTGGGTATTTACTGAGTTGATACAGTGTAACTTTTTAGAAGAAAATATTATTTTATTGTCTTTGTGATAGACGCCACAAAGGTAAGCATGAGGTGACAGATATGACAGAATACAGGACGTATCAAAATTCCTTTGATGTTCACTTTTCCACCCTATCCCTCCTTAAGAAGTTTAGCTACAAAATGGATTTTCTTCACGATGATTTTCTAAGTAAAAACATTATTCAACTTGTCACTTTTTAATTCCTATTAGTTATTCCTTCAAGAAGTAGCACTCTACTCATTTCTCATTTCTGAAGAGTCAGACTCACAATGGAAGAGAGGAGGCTAAGTAGTAAAGTCGTTCTCCTGTGAGAAGCTAACAGTGGGAGTAAGGAAGGTGGGTACACGTCTACGCAGCAATTCTCAACCGCCCTCCATCACAACCAAGAGTAGCTTGCTCCTGAGCCTCCTGCTTTAGAGGGCCCCAAGTTTCCTCACACACACACTAAATAGATTTATTAAAGACCATCATGATCTAGGCAAGTGTTTACTAAGTTCATAGAGCTCATGTGTTACTTTGATTATACTGAAATGGTTCTCTGGTTTGAGCCAAAGGTAACTCCATTCCTTTCACAACAAGGCAGGATATAAAATGAAACCCACTTGATGCAGATCTGTATTTAGAATCAACATATTAGAATTAGCATACACAACACAATTACCAGTTCACTTAATTTTTTTTTTTTTTTACAATTTTTACAATTGCCAGTAAACTTAATTTTTTGTTCATTTGTTTTTCTTATGAAAATAGCAACACACAATCGTGGAGAAAATTTGCGAGATTTTCATTCTTTTTTTTTTTTTTTTTTTTTTTATCAAAGAAACAGCCTATTTTATTTTTTGATGTTTATTTTTGAGAGAGAGAGAAAGAGTGTGAGTGCAGGAGGGGCAGAGACAGAGGGAGACACAGAATCTGAACCAGGCTCCAGGCTCTGAGCTGTCAGCACAGAGCCTAACACGGGGCTCAAACCCACCAACTGTGAGATCATGACCTGAGCCAAAGTTGGACGCCTAACTGACTGAGCCGCCCAGGAGCCCCGAGAGAGAATCTTAAACAGGCTCCACATTCAGTGTGGAGCCCTACATGGGGCTCCATCCTACAACTCTGGGATCATGATTTGGGCCAAAATCAAGAATTGGAGGCTCAACTGACAGCCACCCAGACACCCCGTCACATTGACTTTTTAAAAGATTTTATCTATTAACACTCACTAACAATATAATATGCAAGTATGGCTGTGGCTTAGATTATTTTCTTAGGTTTGCCCAACCAAAGCTCAGTAGATCAACGATGTACACATTAAAAAAAAATGTTTTATTCATCCTTCTATTTTCCCCTCTTTACATTCAACTGACCACATATCTATCATTCTAACTTCTTTCTCAGATACTTACTTTTTTTAGAGCGTTTGTAAATTCACAGCAAAATTGAGAGGAAGGTATGGAGATTTCTCACATACTCCCTGCTCCCCTCCAAATAACATTCCAGCTCCAAATAACATTCCATACTCCAGCTCCCCCATTAACATCCCACACCAGAGGTACATTTATGATAACTGATGAATCTATATTGACACATCATTATCACCATCCAAAGTCCACAGTGAACCCTGCTGTAAGGTTCACTCTTAGTATTGTAAATCCTGTGATCTTTGATAAATGTATACTGACATGTGTCCACTATTTTAGTGTCATGCTGAGTTATTTCCACTGCCCTAAAAATCCCCTGTGCTCTGCCTATTCATCCTTTCTCTTCCCACCCAATCCCTGGCACCACTGATCTTTTCACGGTCTCCAAAGATTCATCCTTTCCAGACTGTCATACAGTTTGAATCATACAGTATGCACGCAGCCTTTTCAAATTGGTTTCTTTTACTGAGTAGTATGCACTTAAGTTTCCTCCATGTGTTTTTATGGCCTGATAGCTCATTTCTTTCTAGCCCTGAATAATCTTCCATTGACTGGCTGTACCACAGTTTATTTATCCTTTCATGTACAGAAGGACATGTTGGTTGCCTCTAAATTTTGTTAATCATCGACAAAACTGCTATATACATCTGTGTGCAGGTTTTTGTGTGGATGTAAGTCTTCCATTCCTTTGGATAAATAGCAAGGATTGCTGGACTGTATGGTAAGAGTGTGTTTAGTTTTAGAAGAACAACCAAACTGTTTTCCCAAGAGGCTGTACCATTGTGCATTTCCATTAGCGACGCAGGAGAGCTCCTGCTGTTCCACATCGTTGGAATCATTTGGTGCTATCAGTGCTCTGGATTGTGGCCGCTCCAACAGCTGTGGTGGTATCTAATTTTAATTTGCCTTTCTCTGATGACACAGGAAGTGGAGCATCTTTCATATGCCTTGCCGTCTGTAGATCTTCTTTGGTGAGGTGTCTGTTAAGGTCTTTGGCTCATTGTTCATCTCTTATTGTTGAGTTTTAGTTCTTCATATATTTTGGATAACTCCTTTTATCAAATGTATCTTCTGCAAATATTTTCTCCCATTCTGTGGCTTGTCTTTTTATTCCCTTGGCAGTGTGTTTTGCAGCGAAGAAATGTTTCATTTTAAGGAAGCATAGTTTATCAATTCTTGCTTTCATGGATCATACCTAAGGCATAATACCTGAAAAGTCATCACCAGGGATGCCTGGGTGGCTCAGTCAGTTGAGCGTCTGACTTCAACTCAGGTCATGATCTCACAGCTCGTGGGTTAGAGGCCCGCATCAGGCTCTGTACTGACAGCTCAGAGGCTGGAGCCTGCTTCAGATTCTGTCTCTATCTCTCTCTGCCCATGCCTGCTCACATTCTGTCTCTCTCAAAAATAAATAAACATTAAAAATTAAAAATAAAGTCATCACCAAATTCAAAGTCATCTGAACTTTCTCCTATGTTACCTTTCAGGAGTTTTACGGTTTTGCATTTTGCATTTAGGGCCTGTGAGTTATTATTCTGAGTTAGTTTTTGTAAAGGGTATAAGGTCTGTGTCTCTATCTGTTTTTCACACGTGGATATCCAGTTGTTCCAGCAAGATTTGTTGAAAAGACTATACTTTTTTTCTCCATTGTATTGCCTTTGCTCCTCAGTTGACTTTATTTATGAGGGTCTATTTCTGAGATCTTTATTCTGCTCCACTGACCTATCTGTCTGCCCTTCCACCCACACTGACTATCTTGATTACTAAGCTGTACAGTAAGTCTTAAAGATAGGCAGTGTCAATCCCCCAACTTTGTTCTTCTCCAATATCGTGCTGGCTATTCTGGGTCTTTTTCCTCTCCATATAAACTTTAGAATCCGTTTGTCGATATCTATAAAATAACTTGTTGGGATTTTGGTTGGCACTGCACTGAATGGATGGATCAAGTTGGGAAGAACTGACATCTTGACAATATTGAGTCTTCCTATCTGCCAACATGGATCTCCCTCCATTTATTTCAGTTTTTTAAAAATTTTACTCATCAGAGTTTTGTGGTTCACCTCATATAGACCTTGTACATATTTTGTTAGATGTATACCAAAGTATTTCATTTTGGGGGGTGCTAATGTAAATGGTACTGTTTTTAATTTCAAATTCCATTCCAAGACCCTCATTGTTCATTACCGGTATATAATAAACAACTGACCTTCATATACTAACTTTGCATCCTGCAGCTTTAATACAATTGTTTATTAGTTCCAGGAGGTTTTTTGGTCAATTTTTTGGTCAACATTTCTTAGATTTTTCTACATAGGCAATCACGCCATCTACAAAGAGTTTTATTGTTTTCTTCCCAATCAGTATATCTTTTATTTTCTTTTTCTTATCTTATTGCATCAGCTAGAACTTCCAGTACAACATTGAAAAAGAATGGCGAGGGGGTCATCCTTGCCTTAAACCTGATTTTAGTGGGAAAGCTTCTGATTTCTCCCCATACCTAATTGTTTTTAATGTTCACTGTAACAGAT